GTAAGATTGGGTAGGATGACTGATATATGAAATTAACGGGACATCCTAAAACAGTGTTTACCTTGTATTGTCCTGTCTCACTGAAATAGCTCTGTGTGTTAGTGCCACTGGCTCCTAAGGTCACAGGGGTGACAGACAGAGCTGTGAAACCAGGCTGCCCTCTGCGACTTTGCTGAGACCTCCTCATGGCCCTCTTCTGAGAAAGGAAACTCACCCTGGCCTAGCACCTACCAAGTCGAAGGTGCGAGGAGGTCACATTTCCTACAACCGCTTCACCTAGGGCTCAAGACAAGTCCATGCTGCCACTAGGGCCCTAGTTTGTCCATATCTACCCTGCCTACTCCACCCTAGTGTACCTGCCTACCTCTGATGCTCACTGGGCCAGTGAACAGCTCCCCACCTCATTTGACTATTAAACATCTTCTCGGTCATTCATTTCTTAACTCATCTACTTGCTTAGGAAAATCCAGCCTTCGGAATACGTTGGGTGACATCAATGGCAAAGGACTCAAGTACTAACTAAATATTGGTGCTTCAAACTCACTCACGGGCACCTTAGAAGACAGGCCTGGGGATGTGCTTCCAAAAAGTCACAACACTGAAAACCCGATGGAGCCCCGCTCATCTCTGCAGACATGGACTCCCTGAATCGTCAACTTGGACTGACCTTGAACTGACAACTGAAGTAACAACTATAACAGGAGACGGCCACCGTGTGGCCCTTACGCCACAGGGTCAGCATGCTTACCTGTGACTCTCCTCTGCCCTCAGGATCACTATGGAAGCAGGCATTAAAGATGTCAAAGCACAGTCCCCAGGCCCTGTCTTCAAGGGAGCCTTGTCTATACCTTGCCATGTTATCTCATTGACACCCCTGAAAGGAAACAGAGCCTCCGTTAGAGAGTGAAAGACCAGGCACTCCTGTTCTTATGACAGACCCTTTGAGGCTCTTGTCCAGCTTTTATCACACATGCTGAAGCAGAGGGGCAGTGAAAACGAGGAAGACCTGCGACAAGATGCACTGACACTGTGGCTGCATCCAGGGCTGCAGACAGAAGAACAAGTACTAGCATGGCCCAGCCCAGCGGTGGCACATAGGGCTGCGATGAGTCAGGACTGACCTGACAACACCTAGCAGCACCTCTCTCTGATGCTAAATGTCCCCAGGGAAGGGATGGGGGCCTCCAGTCCAAAATAGCAATTAGCACAGTGGAGACATGCCAGAAGGAGAGCAGACACAGGCTTGTCTGTAGCCACCCAACCGGAAGGGTAGGGTGAGAACCATTGTGTGCTACATACGAAGACCAGAGCCGGGTGAAGGACGAATGTGTTTTTAAGGCACCCCGGCTCAGTTCCACTGAAGTCCATAGAGCCGATGCTGGCTGGGCACTCTTCAGACTCACGGAGCTGCCGGCAGATGGCACACAAAGGTGACGTGGGAAGCGGGGGATCACAGAGATCAGTGTGAGTCACGTGGATCCAAGGTTGGTGGAAGCATGTGGAGTGCCCACAACTCTGAGGGTTGGGTTGCCACATGCTCTCTGGCCCCTCAAACAGACACGGGATTCTGATGAAGACCCGGGGAGGAGGAAGGCGAAGGGGCGGAGAGAGAGACAAGAGGTCCTCCATGTCTCTTCTATAAGAAGAGCAGCACCCCAAGGAAGCATCATCAATCAGGCTGACGGGTTGAACTCTGTCCCTCCCAGGAGTGTCTGGGTGCCATAGAATCCCACCATCACAACTAGCTATTAAAATAATATGTTTACCTCATACCGCCTAATGAACCCACTAAGAAAACTAGACATCAGTGACACAACTGTTGTAATTATTTTGCTGCGGTTAGATGCCTTCTAGTAAGTTCTATTTTATAGTGATTCTGCGCACAACAGGGTCCAACACTGTCTGACCTGTGCCATCTTCACAGTCAGTGCTGTGTCTGAGACCATTGCTGGAGTCACGGTGTCCATCCACCACGTTGAGATTCTTCCTCTCTCTTGCTGGCCTGTTGCTACCAAGCATCACGCTCTTCAGCGTTTGTTCCCTCTTGATAATATGTTCAAAGTGGACTAAAAGAAGCCTGACTTCTTTTTCTTCTAAGGATTATTCCAGCTATGTTTTTTCCAGCAAGGATGTGTTCATTTTTCTGGAAGTGCATGGTATATTTAATATCCTTCTTTAACACTTTAACTCAAAAAGCATCAATTATTCTTTGGTCTTCCTTATTCACTGTCTAAATTCCACAAGCATCCATGATGATTAAAAATACCTGGCCCGGGTCAGTGCTCCTTAGTCGTCAAAGTGACAACCTTTCTCCTCAGCACTTTAAAGAAGTCTTGTGCACCGGATGTACCCAATGCAGTGCATCACATGATTCCTTGACCATTACTTCCAGGCACATTGATTCCAGGGCTAAGTAAAATGAAATCCCTGACAGCTTCCATCTTTTTTCCATTAACATCACTTGGTCTGTCAGTCGGTTGGTGAGGATTTGCGTATAGTGTCACTATGAATTCGAATGAGATGGCAGTGGACTTTTTCTAATATCAAGTTATGATCTAGAATTGTCTTTGATCATCACGGGTGCTTTAAGTCCTTCTTGCTTTTAGACTGTGGCTATGAGGCACTGAAACAAAAACAAGTAGTAAGAGGATTGAAACATTTAAAAATGTTTAATAGTCCATGTTTCCAAAGACAGATTTATTAGAGAGGGAGATACAGACAGAAAAAATCAAGGCTGTATATTTAACAAGTGCCCAAACTCCTTAACATATAATAATAAAAGTTTTAATTGCTAGGTCCTGTGAGTTGAGTTGGACTTATAGTGGCACCTGGGAAGAGGGAGAAATAAGTAGCATTTTCTAGGCTGTTCTAGACACCCATGGCCAGTTCTTTGTCCTGTGAAGCACTGGATGGATTCTAACAGCTGACCTTTGGGTAGCCACCAAGTACGTAACCCTTGTACCACCATGGTCCCTACTTAATTTTAGGGTGAAGACTTCGGAAGTAGTTTTCTGAAGGTAAAGCTACAGTAGAGAGTTCAACATTAAATCCATGATGAGATGACCCACACTGCACACCCCGTGCAGAAAAGCTTCCTGTGAAGCCCTGCTTGAAGTCCGAGACAGGGCAAGAGATGGCACAATGAGAAGGACCGTCGCCGTGCGTGCAGAATCACGTGGGAGTACTTTACTTGGTGTTGCTTTCCTGTCCTGGGAATCCAATCTGCCAGTAGATGCAGCCAACTAAATCTTTTGGGAAAGAAAGAAGCAGTTGTCTAAATATCCAGAACAACTGTTCAAACCCATTTCAGAAATGTTTTCATCATGAGCAGTTGGAGCTACAATTCGTAAGGTTCCATCACCGCTTGTCTTTTGCTTAGGCTTCAGGTAGACTCCAGGAGATCTGACAGTGAAATCAACCCCTTCAATTTGGAGGAACTTTCACCATTTAGAAATCACAGACTTGGCTTTATTTTACTGGAACATCGGCCATGTGGGTTGGACATTTAAAGCACCAGCATTAAATGTCACCATTGAAGGCTCAGAGGATCCATCTGCCTTGCATCTCCCTTCCTTTGTACACACAGGTGATTCCATCTTTGTTCAATGCTGTGAACTTTTGTGTTGAAACATGTCTCTCTTTCTCGTGAGTTGGTTCATGCTTTCTCTGACTTCTCCCATCAGTCCTGCAGGCAAAGCCCTTTCTCCTTCTGGTGAACTTGCCCTGAACAATGCCCTTTCCTCACTGGGCTCTTTCTTCCCACGTGATCCCTACAATGATTTAGCAACTTCTCTCTCTTTACTTACCAATTTCAAGTTAGGAGTTGGGTCATAGTCACTTATGGAACTTTTGGCCCAGTAAGATGACCTGTGTACTGTAGACTTTCTGCATAGGTTTAGAGATGGTGGGTGCTGGATGGATGTAAGGCTTGGATGGATAGGTGGGTAGATGGATGGGTAGAGGAGCAGATGGTTGGATAGGTGAGTAGAGGAGTTGGTTGGATGGTCACATGAACAAAATTGGAAAGTTTTATCACTGTCTTCAATCCACTGAGAAACCAGACTTAGGTTAATGAAAGGTGGAATCAAGAAGAAGAAAACCCCACGGTGCCCAGCTTTCTTTGATTCTTTATGCTGTGATTGGATTTTACAGTAATTTCACTTTTAAATTAAGGGGGGGGGGAGAATACTTTTGTTAACTGCATGGCAAGCACTGCGAATCTCACCCTCATGACATAGAGTCAATGGTGACTCACAGCAGCCCCCTGTGGGTTTCTGAGACTGTAACTTTTATGAGAGTAGAAAGCACAGCCTCAGACCCATGGAGCTGCTGGTGGTTCCAAACTGCCAACCATGCGAATCGCAGCCCAAGATGTAACCACTCCATCACCATAGATTAATAACATTTCAGAGGTGGAGTTAAGCAGAGCCAAGTACAGAGTATGACTTTTCTGACTTCTCACTCTGTAACCTGGGTCTATTGCTAAGGTATCAATGTCTAATTTATATCACCTGTTTTCCTTAAAATGTCCAGTTGCATTGGCTAAATCTGCTGCACAGACATCTTTAGAGTCCAGAAAAGGAAATATGTTGCCTTTAGGACTAAGATATGTCTGACCCATATGCATGTGAAAGTGGGACACTGCATAAGGAAGGCTGAAGAAGAATTGTGGTGTTGGCAAAGAACATTGAAAGTGCCATAGACTGCTAAAAGGACAAACCAATCTTACAATCCTTGGACATGTTGTCAGGGGAGACCAGTCCCTGGAGAAGGACATCAAGCTTGGTAATGTGGAGGGGCAGCGAAAGAGAGGAAAGATGGGTTGACACAGTGGCTATGACAATAGGCGCAGGCATAGGAACAATTGTGAAGGTGGTGCAGGACTGTGTAACATTTTTTCTGTTGTGCACAGGGTCACCGAATGGCATGTAACAACAACAATAACATTGCAGCAAAGGCCCGGATCATGTGTACCATTAATCACCCATTTTCTCCTTCAGGACATCTGCAAAGCTCTGTGGTGTCATCGTGTTGGAAGGAAATGTGAGACTAAATTTATGCCGGCAGCAGAAGGCACTATTTGTGGTCATGACATGGTAAGACACTAATCTTAGATTCACAGCCTCCAATCCAGATGTTAGAGATTGTCTACCCATCTATCTTGCCTTGTCTTGTATTGGTATTTTCTCAATCCATCTTCTATCTGCTCAGGTGCAGGAGCTCTGGTGGCGCAATGGGTGATGTAGTTGGGCACCACTGCTCTGAGTCAGAGAGACGAAGCAGTCTGATCCCATAGAGGCTTACAGCCTTGGAAACCCTGGGGAGCAGCTCTACTCAGTCCTGTGGGGGCGGCTGTAAGTCAGCACCAACTAGCCTGCAATGGATTGGGTTTAGTGTCCTCTGGGTTTCTCAGATGTATGTGCATTCCCACATCCAGTCCAAGCCACTGTGTTTAACATTGATGTCAGTAAGAAGACTCTTCGGTTTCTCACTTGTCTTATGATACAGTCAAGGAGGTACCTGGAGTTAACAGACACAAAGACCAGGCAACAGGCTGCTTCCTGAGTATTCCTCACATTCAGTAAGGTTGACACCATTTAGTCATAAAGCACCAGCATTAAATGTCACCATTGAAGTCTCAGAGGATCCATCTGAAGATGCTGGGATAGTCCATTGGTACCTATTGTTGTCCTGTACCTTGGTTGGAGGAAGCTATGATACAACAAAAGAAAAAGAAGGGGGAGGGGGAGAAAGAGAGAATGCTGATTAATAAATGGTAGAAAATTACTTTTTCTTAAAATCTAGAAAAAGAAATTGTCTTAACACTCAATAATAGCACTTTTGTTCTCTTGCATTTAAAGTGAAGTTTCATTGATGTTGATGACGATGCTCTTAGAATGTAGACGCATGATGAGGACAGAAATACAATAAGACTCCAAAAAGTTTGTGAGAAAACAGAAATAAAAGATCATGGAATCTCCACACGCTTTTTGAGACACCTTATTTATTGCACTCTTCATCAATGTAGTTCTATACCAGTGGTTCTCAACCTGTGAGTCGAGACCTCTTTGAGGGTCAAATGACCCTTTCACAGGAGTCGCCCTATTCATAACAGTAGCAAAATTACAGTTATGAAGTAGCAATGAAAATAAGTTTATGGTTGGGGGGGTCATCACAACATGAGGAACTGTATTAAAGGGTCGCAGCATTAGGAAGGTTGAGAACCACTGCTCTATTCTCTATATTTACATTACTTTTAGTGATACTGATTGTCTCTGGATGGCACAAATCATTTGCATTTGACTACTAGCTAAAGGTTAACTCTTCAAACCCATGCATGGAATGGTGATCTTCTATAGAGGTGACAGTCAAGAAAGCCTAAGTAGTTCTACCCTAGGTATAGTACATCAGGCGGCCATGAACCAGGACTAAGAGCAAAAGGTTTTAATTTTGAATATGAAATATAAAAAAATTGCTTACGGTACATATCATTGATCTATTGTGCTTACAACCCAAATCAAATCATACATTAAGCATATTTAAATGTGAATATAAACAGAAAGGATTTAAACTGCTTACAAGCGATGCTGAGGTATGCTCTTAGGTTAACTGAATGTTCACTGTGAAAATGAAGATCAATGAGGTACAGTTACTTGGAAATCACACCAATGACAGTTCATCCCAACTCCATCATCTTTGCTTTTATTAGTCCTGCGGAGTCTCTGCCCTATACACACAACAGAAGGAGACACTTCCCGGTTCCTGGTTAACCTCACAATTCTTGTTGTGCCTGAGTCTATTGTTGAAGCTACTGTGTCAATCCGTCTTATTGAGGATCTTCTTCTCTTTTTGTTAACCCTCTACTGTTAACCAAGCATGGTGGCCTGTTCCAGGGATTTGCATCTCCTGACAACATGTCCAAATTCCACAAGACAAAGTCTAACCATCCTCACATCTAAGGAGCATTCTGATTGTACTTTTACCAAGAGAAAATTGCTTGTTCTTCTGGCATTAGTATATTTAATGGTAAAGAAGCAAGTAATTTAATGCATGACCTTTAGTCTTACCCGCTCTGTGGGAGAAAGACTGGGCTCTACTCCCATAAACATTTCAGTCTCAGAAACCCACAGGGGTTGCTGTGAGTCAGCATTGACTCAATCACAGCTGGTTTGGTTTTGTTTTAGCCTTAAAAACTACATCGGCATTGGAATGAAGTTTTCTTGATTTAATCAGATAGATTGAACCATGTGAAGTGGCCATTGTGTGTGTGTGCCAAGTGGAGTAAACCATCAATGAATTTTGTATGTTTTCATTTAACGTGTCAACAATCTGGTGGTGATACTCTTGCCATCAAGTAAATTCCAGCTCACGGAAACCTCTCACTTGCAGAGTGGAGATGCTCGCTAGGGTTTGAGCTCTTTTGAATGCACATCACTAGGTTTGTGTAACAAGGCACCTCTGGGTGTGTTGTTGTTAGGTACTATGTTAGACAGGGTTCTCTAGAGAGATAAAACCAAATTGCTGATAATTTAATATATTTATTTATAAAGATAATTAGATATATAACAAGAAATGAAGTGTTGAATCATACACAGATAAATATATAATACAAGAAAGAAACAGTTAAATTATAAAGCACTACAAATGGTTCGATTCAACTCACTCCCGCGAGAGAGTTGTGAGAGACTAGCAGTCCTTCCAGTCCAGTCTGCTGCCAGATCTTCCTCTATTTCTAGAGAGAGCTAGGCTATGGCGGCACAGCAGCCAATCAGAAGGCAGGTCACCAACTGCCAGTCCCCAGCTCCAGAGATGTCTTAAAGGGACCTCAACTTACAGCGACACAGTCCACAGGCTAGGTGTCCCACAGGTAGTGTAGCCTTTAAATTGAGGCACAGAACAAGCAAGGCAGCTGCATACTGGTCCGATGATCAAAGAGCGAGAGACAAGAAAGACGAGGCGCAGCAAGCCATTTATCTCTCTGCCCTTCAGTTAATCCCACTTGCGTTCATTGGCCAGACTGGCACAATAAACTATCTCAATCCACCCCTTGCCAACCTGGCACCTGTACACAATTCTTTAGCCATATATACTTATATAATTTATGGACATTGATGAAATCACACTTATACTTATCATCAATCATCTATCATACATATAAATGAAAACACAGTCCTATTGTATCTGATATATCATACCTGAATGAAGGAAAGATATGCAATAAACACATAAAAATAAAATACATTGACAATTACAAACCTCGCTTTTGCAATTGATCACGTGGTTGTAATTAATACCTTCCACTACTACCCATTCTGTATTACCTTTGCCCTCAGCAAGCACCTCAGCTGGCTGTGGTTCTTTGCCTGGTGGGGTGACCCAGACCTTCATTCCTGAGGGGTCTGGGTCATTATAAGTCCTGGCAGTATTGGGTTGCTGTAATTTACCATTTACTTTAATCACAGGGCATGGTAGCACTAAGAGTCGGCCTATGGGATCTCCTGGATTCCATACATATTCTTCTTTACCTCCATTATGTAACACCAGTCCAATTTCTCCTTGGTAATCAGGATCAATCACACCACTTAGTACAGTGACACCCGTCCTGACCTGTTGATCCAGGCTGGCACAAGAAACTATCTCAGGTACCATGAAGTCAGTGCTGATCCATAACAACCCCTGCACAACAGAATGAAATACTGCCCGCTCCTGCACCATCCACACAATTATTCCTATGTGTGAGCCCATTGCTAAAACTACTATTACAATGCCAAATTTTTGACTAATAATCAAACACTTAATCATTTGTGCCACCCAGGGACTCCAATCAATATTTTAAATATTTTCATGTTCTTCTTACAAAAGAAATAGAAATCTAATATTTCTAACCTTATATACAAAAAGCTTGACACCTCTCCCACATTCTCAGTGGTCCTGCCAGGCCTTGCCACCTACACACCCCTCACTTTCACCCACCCCTGATCAGGGACAAAGGATAAGAAGTTTTCAGTTTTCCCCTCTCCTCTCACAGAAGATACAGATCTACTGAGATCCTTGAACCCGTAGGAGGAAACATCAACACCATTAAACACAATAAGCTAAAGATTGAGTATCACGTGTTTGCCCAGGAACGGCATCACTGCATGGGGATTGGTATGAATTATATTGGTAAGTAGTTGTCTTGAGAGGATGTGGCGTTGAGTACATCCCTGTGGAAACAAGATGAACTTCTCTAGAAATGCTTCACATCCCAGCACTGTTGTGTGGCCTTGGACATGCCATCAGTGCTTCATTATGCCTAGTCTTAGGAAGTTAAAATGAAAGTATAGAGTATCTAAGGGGCTTAGAACTGATGTTGAGTTTCCAACCTGAAACTCAAGCCTTTTTTGAATATGAGATGTAAAAAGAAACTCCACAGGAGAAAGTCCTGGGCACCTGATCCTAGAAGCTCACAGCACTGGAAGCCCATGCTGGTTCTTCTCTGTCCTATCGGATTACTCCGAATCAAAGCAGACTCAATACCCTCCAACAGCAGCAGTATGTTCAGTCACGGTCTCTGGAATAATGCTAGGCTTGTGATGGGAAGAAGCAACACCAACCTTATTTCTCACATATGGAATTAGACGGTCCTTGTCGTTGTTAGGTCCTGGTGAGGCAGTTCTGGCTCAGAGTTCCCTATCTGCAACAGAACAAAGCATTGCACCTTTTGCTATGCTTGAGCCCATTGTTGCAACTACTGCGTCAATCCATCTCCTGGGGTTCTTTTTCTTCTTGACTGACCCGCTACCAAGCCTCATGTTCTTCTCCAGGGACTGAGCTCTCATGATGACCTATCCGAAGTACAAAATCTTGCCACCCTTGCTTGATAAGACAGTCTTGCCACCCTTGCTTCTATGGAGCATTCTGATTATATGTTTGCTATTGTATGGGACAACTTCTTCATCTGTTTTGGGGAGAGATCAGTCCCTGGAGAAGGATATCATGTTTGATAAAATAGAAGGGCAGCAGAAAAGAGGAAGGCCCTCAATGGATGGGTGGACACAGTGGCTGCAGCAATGGGCCCAGGCACAGGAACCATCGTGAGAACAGTGAGGAGCAGGCAGGGTTTCGTCCTGCGGTGCAGACGATCACAATGGGCCAGAAGTGACTCGATGACATCTAACAACAATAACAGAGGTATGAAAGGGACTCCAAATCCCAATATAATTTATGGAGGCACATTTATTAAATCATATATAGAAAGAAGAAAAAAAGTGAAAACAATTCATCCGGTTGAGGGAGACCATTGGTATGAATTCAAGGATTTACAGAAAACTAGAGCCACGCTAAGAGAACATGGGCATGCAAAGGAAACAGTCACAAAAGTAAGGCCGTTGAGATCTGACAAATTATCAGCAACCCTCCAGCTCTAGTTCCACCAAGGGTGCACGCAGACAAGTTCCCAAGGATTGGCTAGGGGAGTGGTCATAAGCCACTTTTTAATGCACTCTTTCACAGGACAAGGCTATTTACATTGTTGGCTAAGTGGTCCCAAAGAATTCAATGAAGGCTGAATGTATGAGAGGTACCTCCCCCCCC